GTTCTGCAAAATTCAGTTTTTGGATTGCAAGTCAGAATGTTTTGTAAATAAACTAAACTAAACTAAAAATGACAAAAACATAAAAAATAAGATGTTTTTCTTTCATCAAATCAAGGCTGCTTTAAATTTTTAATTTTAAATGAATAATCTATAATATAATTATTCAGTATCTACTATAAATTATTCATTTATCATTATTTAGTAATTATTCAGTAACTACTATGAATTATTGTGTCTTCTATAAATTATACTGTATCTAATAAGAATTATTCAGTATCTACTATAAATTATTCAGTATCTACTATGAATTATTCAGTATCTACTATAAATTTTTCAGTGTCTACTATGAATTATTCAGTATCTACTATGAATTATTCAGTATCTACTATGAATTATTCAGAAGCTAAGATGAATTATTTTGTATTGTTATTATTGCTATAAATATTAATTACATATAAAATTGCAGCGTGGTTTTGTTATCGCCGTTGACAAGTGTGACATGTTAAACTCATTCTTTGCAGTTCTGGATAAAACATTAAATCCGATGTTGTAGAGAAGTGAAATGCTCTGATTGGGGCTGGACGCTCAGTCGTGGTTCCTGCTGGAAGCCTTAAACGCGTATTTCTCCCTCGTTCTCCACGGTGCTTCTGAGAACTAGAAAAGAAAACAAAAGGAAAGGAGAAGAGAGGTGAATGGCGAGTTTGTGTGAGCCTCTGGAGGAAAGGTGTGAACAGGAAGTGGAGAGAGGATGGGAAGGGTGAGCAGGACAGAAGAACCGCAGGGAAAACTTTTACTCTTAAGAGTGTCCTTCACATCTGGACACACAATGCACACTTCCCCCTCCTGCTATGACCGAGCAGTCCCCTGATATACATTAATGCAGAGGCTTGAACCTGTGAGCCTTTATAAACATATCATGAGCATACTGTTTATCTTGGACATCAGATAAGCCTCAATAAGTCAGATATGAGGGGAGATCAAACCTTTCACTGATGTGGATGAACTAACATCAGCTTTAAGCCCTAGAAGAAGATTTTTGTTTTGCTATAATGTTTTAGTTTAATTACATAATTACATTATTCATTACATAATCATGTAATGAACTACATCTACATCCAATTAAAGTTCTGTTGATATCATATCTGTGGCCATGAAAGTTTTCTGCCTGGCTCTCTCACATAACCCTCAATGTTTTAATTTTCCTAACATTAACTTCCATAGACACAGATTATCATTACAGGTATTGTTTCTTGACTGCTATGAATTGTTCAGTAACTGTTATGAACCAGTCCTGTCTCCCCATCCACATACGCTTGCAAATGAACCAGCCCTATTCTCCATCCCCATTACCCATACCAGTGGACCAGCCCTACTCCCCTTACCCCTACCAGTGAGCCAGCCCTGTCTCCCCATCCCCATTACCCATACCAGTGGACCAGACCTACTCCCCATACCCCTACCAATGAGCCAGCCCTGTCTCCCCATCCCCATTACCCATACCAGTGGACCAGAACTACTCCCCATATCCCTACCAATGAGCCAGCCCTGTCTCCCCATCCCCATTACCCATACCAGTGGACCAGAACTACTCCCCATCCCCATACCCCCACCAATGAACAAGCCCTATCTCCCCATACCCCTACCAATGAGCCAGCAGTACTCCCCATCCAAATACCCCTGCCAATGAACCAACCCTAATGCCCTTCCCCATACCCCTACCAATGAGCCAGCAGTACTCCCCATCCAAATACCCCTGCCAATAAACCAGCCCTAATGCCCTTCCCCATACCCCTACCAATGAACCAGCACTACTCCCCATCCAAATACCCCTACCAATGAACCAGCCCTAATCCCCATCCAAATACCCCTACCAATGAACCAGCACTACTCCCCATCCAAATACCCCTACCAATGAACCAGCCCTAATGCCCATCCAAATACCCCTACCAATGAACCAGCCCTAATCCCCTTCTCCATACCCCTACTAATGAACAGCCCTGTCTCCCCATACCCCTACCAATGAAACAGTGCCACTCCCCATCCAAATACCCCTACCAATGAACCAGCCCTGTTTCCCCATACCCCTACCAGTGAACCAGGCCCACTCCCCACCCCCATACCTCTACCAGTGTACCAGCCCCACTCCCCATACCCCTGCCGTTTTACAGATGTAAATACAAGGCTTTTTTTAGACTCCAGGATGTAAAAGTGAATCTGCTGCTGTGCTACTGGACACATTTTATGCTGTAAGTGACAGAACAGTAAGAGGTTGTCAGAGCGAATCATAAAAGCTCTCATGTTCTGTCACTCAGAGAACACACCTCTGTGTTTACTTTCTGTCCTTCTTACGGATTCATCAGCCAACAAAACTGCTCAGTCAAGATTTTCAGATATGACGATGACGCCATCATTGCTGGACTGATTTCAATGATGAAGCAACAGAAGCTCTTCTACACTCTTAAGGGGTTCTAATGCAATCTAATAAAAAATTCGGCATAATTCAGTGTTTCAGATGTAAACAGTCATTCAGAGTGGTTCAGTTGGTTCATTGCAGAATCTCGGATTTCTTTACAGTGATATTCCCCAATTGGTTTCACCCTTTGTAAACCGAAATGTGATTGGTTGATTCCTCTGTCACTTCCTAATTATGTTGATAGGTATTTTTTTTGTGTGTCCAGCTCCTAAAGTCCTAACCAATGGGAGAGCTTGCTTGGCTGCATTCAGCTAAAACTACCTAGGCATCTAAAAAAATTAACCCTTTTGTTTCCAGTCAAAAATTAACAATGAAATAACAGTATTACTGCAATGCTTAGTCTTTCCATGAAGGCCAACTTCCTTTACACACATAGCTGTACAACTGTGCATACTGTGAGTAATTGCAGTTCTTAATGTCATTGCTTTCCCTTATTTTGTGCCTCATTTTTGTACTTTATTGACCATGCTTTGCACTTTTTGTTTGGATACACAGGTGTGCACCAAATAAAAAGTACCACAAACCTTGTTGTGTGACAGCACGGTTTCCTGGATCTTTGATCTTGGGTGACCCTTGCTCTGTTTTCTATGCATTGCATGTTCAGACGATGGTACAGGGAGGAACTACAAACAAATCCGAGGAGTGTCAATACTGTCTTAGCGCAGCTACATGCACTCTGTAGCTTTATGTCTCGTAGTTTCCTCCTGCAAACTGCCTATGAGCTTTTAATTCGGTTTTAGATTGCTAAGACACTTTATGCTGACGTACCAGTTCTTTGGCACTTATTCATATCCACGTTAGGTTATTTTGTAACAGGTTAATGCCTGTCAGATTTCAGGGAATTTAGATGACACATACCTGTTCTTGATTCTGCGCCCAGTGTTAATCCTCTGGAGAGACAGAAACTTTGATTAAACACGCTTACGTTACAGATCTAGAAAGAATATAGAGAAACTATGTTTGTCTATGTAAAGGCAATTAAGTTTGATTAAATATATACAGTACTGTGCAAAAGTCAGAGCCCACCTTCTTTTTTAAATTTCAGTCAAAACAGCCATTAATAAATACATTATCCATGTTTGAGCACCACAAAAACAGCAAAAGCATATTGGAACAGAAAATTACATTCTTTTCAGGAGACTCGCTTTCAGTTGCTCAAAGAAATCTGCAGACACACCTCCAAAGTTCAGCTGTTTAGCAGTTTCTGAAGTAATCCCAAAGTGATGTGGAGGACTCTGGACTCTGGGAATGGTCAGTCCATTGTTCTGAGTTCTGAGAACACCAGCATTTTCTTTATATATATATATGTATCAAGAAAGTTGGGACATTGATCGTCATTTAAACCCTATATTTCATTGAAAATAGTACAAAGACATTAAATCAAATGTTGAAACTGAGAAATTTTATTTTTTTTAGAAAAATAAATGGCAATTTTGAATTTGATGGCAGCAACACGTTCCAAAAAAGTTGGGACGGGGGCCTGTTTACCACTGTGCTACATCACCTCTTCTTTTAAACAACACTCTGTGAGCGTTTGGGAACTGAGGAGACACTGCTGTAGTTTTGAAAGTGAAATGTTTTCCTGTTCTTGTTTGATACAGGATTTCAGCTGCTCATCAGTTCGGGGTCTAATTTCAACATTATGAGCTTGGCTAATTTTTTTTTTGTATGGGAGCGTGTGATCAGATTTTTATTTGATCATGTGATTTGGTTATTATTTTGATTTTAGTCGATCTGTGTTGCAGATCAATCAAACAAAAAACATGAGCTCTGGGCCAGTTTGGCTGTAAAGAAATCAGAATCGGACCTGACCATAAAAATTCATGCTTGTTGGACTTCAGTTGTGATTGGTGCGTCACTCAGGAGAAAATCAAGGTCACTTTTGCTTCCTCAGGTGTTCTGGACCACTAAAACTGCCCCCATCAGATAAACAGCACTTAAAGCTCTTATCTCTGAGAGAGAGGAGAAAATCAAGCTGCTTCAGATCTGAAAACATCCACAGGTGTTTCTGTCCATCCTTCCACTGTGAGAAGACGACTCAGCTCACCCTAAGCATAACCATAACCGTGTTGAGAATCAGCCAGGTTTCACCAGATAGTTTATTGATCATTTCAACATCTGTAGATAGTTTATTCTGAGCTATCCCAGTAAAGTGGGGCTGAAACATACATACATACATACATACATCATCTAAACCACTTATCCTTCTGGGTCGCGGTGGGGTGCTGGAGCCTATCCCAGCTGTCATTGGGCAGAAGGCAGGATACACCCTGGACAGGTCGCCAGTCCATCGCAGGGGGCTGAAACAAATATCTGATAATATATTTTGTTGCTGAGCCTTTTGTATAATTTTCCTGACTCTGAAAATGAATTTGGACTTGAACAGTCTCTTGCACAGTACTGTAAATAGTTTCCTTTGATTTCCAATGTGACCAAAGGTAGAAAACGTAAGCACAACTGATAATAGCACGTTAGCAAGCTGGAACACAGACAACAAGGGACAGGACACCTGCCAAGAGGATTGACGATGGTGGGAGTGGACTTGCAGAAAATGTCTGTAGTATGTGCCTCAGCCTAATTAAACTTGGCCGAGTATGAGCCGCATGTGTACTCGGTGCCTACGTTTGTTGTTCCTGTGCTCAGAGGCTTAGCGAAGAGCACACAGCGGCAGTCTTCCTCGAATCTGCTCAATAACGCAAGCTCGTGTTCATCGCTCAAGCTGACAGCCAGGTATTATGTCAGAGTAGGTGTCGCCTTCTTTTGAAGGCATGCGTTGTCACTGACGAGTGGATTGTTTTCTTGTTTGGGTGCTTTTGCTTCACCATTAGCAATGAAAAGACATGTACAGTGCATGCCTCAGGTGACTGGCTAATTAGCGCCGTCACAGCATGTAGGCCAATGAGACAATGCTTTTTCTCAGATTGATTGCACTAGCAATAGTCTTTACCATGTCTTTGTATCAGTAGTTCCACAGTTTGTCTGTTCGTGGTTCCACAGTGTGAATTCTCAGTGGGAAAATACCTGGACTGCACCTGAGAGCAGATGGTTGCTGGAGAAAGCCCTACATGGGACATGCTTTGGTGCTTCTGAAAAGCACCTTGGAAATCCTCACAGCTCAAATATTCACCAGTGTTATCTGATCAAACCTGAATGGTTAGCTACCGAAATCTGCAGGGGTTGCCTGACGAGATGGCAGATCAGTATCCCTTCATGTTGGTGATGCTTCTTCCACCCACGGCTGGAGTACCTGTCATGAGAGCTGAATCTCATTCTTTCATCTTGTACTCAGCTGCATGCATTGTTGCTTTGGTCTATTAATAGGGCAGCAGGGAGCCTCCCTGCATTTGTCTTGCCGTTTTTCTTGTTGAGAGGAAGGCAAGCGAGGCCTTGTTTGCCCAGGGCTTTGTGCTCTGAGCTTGGTGTTTGCAGTGGAAGGAGTGCCAGAAGAACGAGTGCATGTTTGTGGGTGGAGAAAGCTCAGCTGGAGAGAGGGGGTGGGAGGCTGGAGGAGGTTTGGGCAGGCAAAGGTGTTCCTGAGAACCGGAGCCAAGGAATGCCTGGCTTCAGCGGAATCCCCTTTCTACCGTCGGCTTGGTAACTCCGTCAAAATCATGACCACATTAACACAACATAAAACGCATTGATGCTGACTTACGGTGAGCAGAGGCATATCATATGATAATAAGAGTGACATTTGAACCAGGTGTGTGCCACGCAATATATTCAGCATTTTAAGATACCTGAGACAGACTTTATCTGTTCATTAAGGTGTTCCAGCAAATTAGTGGTTTTCTTGCACCAAAAACATTAAACATGTGCTTCACTTTTCTTAGGGTGATGGCTGGGAAGCAAAAATCTTCACAAAGTTGTCATCAGAACCTTCTAGATGCTGCTTCCTGTGACTTGGATGTCACTAATTTTAAGCATTTTAATTAACCTCGTGGTAATAGCCAGATTCTATGGATTTCAGTCATGGTGTACCTCAGGGTTATGTAACTGGCCCCTTTTTGTTCTGGTATTAAGTCCTTTCTTAACATGTTTAAGTTGTTAGTTAAAATATAACTGATGGGAAAATGTTCCCTAATCAGTGATAAGGTTCAGACAATTCGAAAAATAGACATTTCAAGTTCAGTTCAGGTTTAAATGTCTTGATTAATTAGCTCCGTGTCATCCTTGTTGTGCCTCAGCCTGAAACATTTTGGCCGGCTGACTTATTATGAATGAAATTGACTAAGCTGTGATATTTCGCTTGAACCTCTAAGAACCAAATGAGAACTAATACACTCACATTACTTATTTCCGGCACATAATTCCTTTCCATCCCACAGCAGACGTTCCCTCTCAGTGAATTACACAATGATATGGAAACTGAACTCTCTGAAAGGTTGTGATGTAACCGACTGATTTGCCGTTGTGACGGTCATGAACAGTTGATGCAGTTTGCTGACTGACAGCATACAGACACTTTGTCTGGCAACATGGAATCATCATAATCCATCAGAGTGATTTGAAGAGGTGTATTTAGTCATTGTAGGCCCTGTTCTTTTTCAAGGCGGTAGCCTTGAGAATTGGATCAGGGCATGTGGGGTTCACTTCTGGTGCAAGGGGTTACGTACCCTCCTCAAGGGCACATTCTCCACTTTTCAACATACCAAGCCAATTTAGAGATTTATCTAAGGAATTAACATAGTTTACTTAGAGTAGAACGAGTGCGTGGATCAAATAACCGATTCAAGCGATCAAAATGGTGATAAACAGTAGGCTTGTGATAATGCATGACCACTAAACTCCTGTTCCTGGGAGGTCACAGCTCTGGTCATGATTCGGTCGACTCCTTCACCCAACGTTTTTTTGTGAACATATGTTTGGCAAGCACGTCAAGTTATAAAAGTTTTAGGTTTCACTGCGGTTCTGTTCTGCTGCAGAGCATTATTCACAGGTTTGGTGGACGTGACAGCTGTTTGTGTAGTGTGCGCACAGTGTATGAATCATGGGTCAGTCTAATCTATATCAGCGATTGCAACAATAATCCTGCTGTTTTTATAGGTAATCAATCAGTCTGCACGTTTCACAACACGTTTGAAAATGAAGAGTGAGTGGGGGGTGAAAAATATCTGACTAATCGCCGTGTTCTGGCGCTGTTAGAGGAGCTGGACAGGTGAGTTTGTTTAGTGCACATTCAAGTTTATAAAGCGTAGCGCGTTCCTTCTGTGGGCTCAGATGCAGCCTTTGAAACCCACACAGTTTGCTGAGGGATTGTGAAAGGTTGTGCTGTATGAGCCGCAGGTCCCGGGGGAGTCTCCACTGTGCTTACTCAGAAAGACAGAAGGGAAGAAGCTGCGTGGATCCATCAGCCTGAACTCCCCAAACTCCAGAGAGCAACACTCTGCGTAAACCAAGGAACACAGAGGAGGAACAGAGGAGATATTAAGGATGTGCGTTTGTTCTGGATGTGTTTTTCAAGCTGGATTTATCTTTAGAACATTGTCCTGCATTGTCAATGGATACCGTTTATGGAGAAAAGTTCATGATCGTTTTTTTTGAGACTCATCTGAGCCTAATTTAATTGATTCATTTCTGACAAGCAAAAAATCATGTTGTCTACTTTGGGAGTTCACAGTTTAATAAATAACAATAATAATAATAATAATAATAATAATAATAATAATAATAACAACAATGTTTGTATTATTATTGTTGTTATTGTTATTGTCATTGTGGTTGCCATTGGTTGCTGTTGGTATAAAAAAAAAACTGGAACTGATTTGAAGTTGAATTGAATTCAGAACAAAAAATATTTGATATTTAAAAGACTTAAAATGATAAAGAACTATCAGTAATTGTTCTCTAAATCAGTTTTCATCCTTTATAAACAGTGTTATGCAGAAACAACTGAAATTATTGTTAACATAATTATTCATTGTTATTATTGTATTATTATTATTATTATTATTATTATTATTATCACCATTGTTGCTGCTGCTGTTGTTGCTGCTGCTGTTGTTGCTGCTGCTGTTGCTGTGGTTAATGTTATTACTGTGGTTGTTATTGTTGCTGCGGGTGTTGTTGTTGCTGCGGGTGTTGTTGTTGCTGCGGGTGTTAGTGTTGCTGCTGTTGCTACTGCATTTTGAAAATTATTGCTGCTGCTGCTGTTGGTTGATGTTTTGTTGCTGTTGCTGTTGTTATAGTTGTTGTTCCTGTGGTTGTTCCTGCTGCTGTTGCTGTTGCTGTAGTTGATGTTACTAATGTGGTCGTTCTGGCTGTTGTTTCTATGGTTCTTGGTGTTGCTGTGGTTGTTATTGTTGTGGCAGTTGGTGTCACTGTTGTTGCTGCGATTGTTGTCACTATTGTTGCTTTAGTAAATGTTTAGTAGTTACTTTTGTTGCTGTTGGTGTTTGTTATTGTTGCGGTTATTGTCACTGTTGTTGCTTTGGTTGATGTTTTGTTGCTATTGTTGTTGTTATAGTTGTTGTTCCTGTGGTTGTTGCTGTTGCTGTAGCTGATGTTACTACTGTGGTTGTTCTGGCTGTTGTTGCTATGGTTCTTGGTGTTGCTGTGGTTGTTATTGTTGTTGCTGTTGTCACTGTTGTTGCTGCGATTGTTGTCACTATTGTTGCTTTAGTAGATGTTTAGTAGTTACTGTTGTTGCTGTGGTTCTTGGTGTTGCTGTGGTTGTTATTGTTGTGCTAGTTGGTGTCACTGTTGTTGCTGCGATTGTTGTCACTATTGTTGCTTTAGTTGATGTTTTGTGGATGCTGTGGTTCTTGTTGTTGCAGTGGTTGTTATTGTTGCTGTGGTTATTGTCACAGTTGTTGCTTTGGTTGATGTTTTGTTGCTATTGCTGTTGTTATAGTTGTTGTTCCTGTGGTTGTTGCTGCTGCTGTTGCTGTTGCTGTAGTTGATGTTACTACTGTGTTCGCTCTGGCTGTTGTTTCTATGGTTCATGGTGTTGCTGTGGTTGTTATTGTTGTTGCGATTGTTGTCACTATTGTTGCTTTAGTAGATCTTTAGTAGTTACTGTTGTTGCTGTGGTTCTTGGTGTTGCTGTGGTTGTTGTTGTTGCTGCAGTTGGTGTCGCTGTTGTTGCTGCGATTGTTGTCACTATTGTTGCTTTAGTTGATGTTTTGTTGATGCTGTGGTTCTTGTTGTTGCAGTCTTTGTTATTGTTGCTGCGGTTGGTGTTGCTGTTGGTGCTGCGTCTCTTGTCATTGCTTTGGTTGCTGTTTTCTTGTTGCTGTGGCTGTTGCTGTGGTTGTTGCTGCTGTGATTAAAAAACTAAGTATGAAAATTAAAGGTTTCATAGATGTAAATTTGAAACGTCTCGAGAAAACTCATAGCAATGACAGAGGTTAAAATATATGAAGATAAACTTGCAGATCATTTGCTCTGAACCAGCCAGTCAGTGGGCTGTTGTACAGTCTAACAGTGACATACAGGAACAGCAGGAAATTGTAGTTGTCAGTATTATTGCTATTATTAGTAGTAGTAGTATTAGTATTAGTATTATTGTTGTTGCTGGTGCTGATTGGTGTGGTGTAAGAGTGCTTGGCCCCAGAGGGAGGTGCTTCCTCCTTCTCCTCCTCCTGCTGCTGTTGCTGCTCCTCCTGTTTAAAGCCTGTGTGGAGTTTAGCTCCTGCAGTGTTAACCTGCGCAGCTTCACCGTTTCTGCTCCTCACGCCTCGTGGACTTTGGGTTCGGAGACACGCGCGGACACGCTCGGCATGTTGGGTAGGCAGCTTTAATCTCATTATCGACTCTCACTTTCACTTCTGATGAGACTTGGCCTTTAATTCGAGTCTGATAAGTGCACTGGCTGGGTCTGTGCTGGTTGTGTGAGCGAGTCAGCAGCTCTGTTTTGACTGTGTGGAGTGTCGGGGTGTGTTTGGCGGCTGGAGGTGCTGCTGTTTGTAACTCTCTGGTTTGTCTGGAAGTGTCAGAAAGGCTGAGAATGGTGTCACATTGATTCAGTACCTTTCCTGCAGACTCAAAAACAGCCTGTAATGGGGCAGGGTGAGAGTGTAGAGCGGGTCATTCTGCTACAGTTGAGTCTAAAGTTCCTTAATTGACCAGTTCATGATACACTTTTACTATAATAAACTCATGATCCACTATTTCTAAATCATGATGAACTATTTTTATGATAAACTTGTGATTAACTATTTTTGAGTCACAACAAATTGATTTTAAGTCACACCTCATCCGCTTCATCCCCTCTTCGGGATGTTACAGTGAATATTGGTAGATTTGGATGAAGTGCTCTGAAGTCCAGCTCAGAGATGGATTATTTACACCATTCATACTTAGCTAATTACAAAATTAAACTTGTGCAATATTACGTAGTTATTAGATATACAGTTGACAGAGAACACACTTAAATACAAAAAAATTAAAATATAAAATTAAATGTACAAATTTCAGAGCATAATTTCAATTTATTTGCTGAACATATTTAAAAACATAACAATAAACATAACATATAAAATGTGCCTTAACTTTTTGCCAAGGCCACATTTTATGTTGTATTATTTTTTAACCAATTTGTTAAATTCAATAAATAAACAGTAACTGTGGATTTATTTTCACTCAACAAAACAAAACAAATAAAAATAATTCAGTCTATTGAAAATTTGAAATTTCCATTTTTTACATTTGAAATTTTAAAGCACTACATTTTCGGTAGACGTCAGCATTTTTAGGATGCACCACAAAAAACTACCATAGACACGGTTACTTACTTAGAAGAACCACTTTTGGTTCCTTAAAGAACCACATTTAATTAAAGAGATTTGATTTTAAAGGCTTAAAAAGAATAAAAGAATCCTCACATATTGAAAAAGTTTCTTTAGCAGTTCAAAACCTTTACATTACATCTCATTTACAAAAGTTTCATCCACGAAAAGGTTCTTTAGGGAACCAAAAGTGGTTCTTTAATGGTTTTGGACTTTTGGCCCCTTTAATTTTTATAAAGTTCGTGATAAACTACGTTTTTCGTGGCGCATCCTAAAAACACCAGTTATTTTAAAGCTTTTATATGTTCAATTTACCAAAAAATACAAAGTGTGACATATTTCTAATAACTAAGGAATATCATACATGCTTGATTTTGTGATTAGTCTGATGTGAATGTTAATGAGGCTGAGTGATAATCTGTTTCTGAGCTGGACGTCAGAGCAGCTCATCCAAATCTGTGAATGTTTGCTGTATCGTCCCGTTGAGGGTATGAAGTTCTCACGCATTGACTCTGATTTACATCTCCTGGTCAGTTCGTACTTTCATATGAGCTCAGCAGAGCAGAGAACGTCACGCTTGTTAGGTTTTCGCCTGATTACACGTCCGTGTGCGTTTCTGTGAGGCTCCTTTGAGCTGTTCAGTTCAGCGTCTGCGTCTTTTCTCACGGACACACTGCGAGTGATCCAGAGGTCATGTGTACGGAATCGGGACGGGCACTGATTTAGAGGATATACTGGAGGATTAAACCCAGTTTAAATTGAATAAGTCTAGTAAGTTTAAATAAGTCTAATAACCATGTGTGATTTTTGGAATTGTAACAGTGGAAAACATAACAGTGGAAGTAAAAATCTCTACATGTTTACACAGTTTTGATCTGAACAGTAAACAGCAGCCGTGCCGTTAATAGTTTCATATTTATTTCAGTTGTAAATTGTTGATTTTTTGGTGTTATAAGGAAATACAGGAAATGTGTTTGCAGGCCCCCTGACCCCAGAGTCTGACAAAAAATACATAAAATAACTTTAAAGGGCCCATATTATGGAAATTATAGCTCCTCTATTTTAATATAGTATGTACTATGTACTATATACTATAGTACTGTTTACTTTTCGGTCCATATACTGGAAACTAAGCTGTAAAAACAGCTTAACAGCCTGTTTTGACTTTGTGTTTCTGTGATGTCATAAAAACCAGTGTATGTGCATATATCTTCCTCTTGAGTCTATAGCAGTTTAGCCCCACCTACTCTTGCTGAAATTAAAAGGAAACTGATTTTTTAAATTGGCACAGCCAATCAGAATAGATCTCATTTACATACATCAGTCTTAAAGGCACAGTAACAAAGCCAAACTGTTTAATTCTGAGGGATAAAGAGAGGTTATGGAAAAATGAATTATGGCTGTGTTTCATAAATACTTATTTTCACTCAACAAAACAAGTAAAAATAGTTCTCTCTATTAAATATGTGAAATTTACATTCTTTTAATTTAGATCATTTGAAATTTTAAAGCACTACATTTTTGGTGGACGTCTGTATTTTTAGGACGCACCACAGAAAACTGACCATAGACACAGTTACTTACTTACTAGAGCCACTTTTGGTTCCTTAAAGAACCACAGTTAAATAGAGAGATTTGATGTTAAAGGCTTAAAGAATCTTCATATATTGTAAAAAGTTTCTGTAGCAAATGAAAACCTTTACATTATATCCCATTTACAAAAGTGGCTTTCTAAAGAACCTTACACTAAAAGGTTCTTTGGGGAACCAAAAGCAGCTCTTTAATGGCTTCAGACTCTTTTTGGCCCCTTTATTTTTTATAGTTCATGATAAACCATATTTTCAGTGGTGCGTCCTAAAAATACCAGCAAATTTAAAGCTTTAAATGTTTGATTACCCCAAAAATACAAAATGTGATATATTTCTAATAACTAAGGAATTTCATACATGCTTCATTTTGTAATGCATTTGCTGTGTGTGGCTGTTTTTCATACATAAACCCCCATAAATGTTAAGTGGACATCAAGGGAAACTATTATATAATATTTAATATAGATAATATTATATTATTATTACAATATTAATAAATGTTGAATATAGGCCCTTTAAATTAATAATAAGTGAGTTATTAAAATGTACGTAAGTATAAGCCTTTTTCACTGGGCCTCAGATTTAAAAGCTTGCTTTGTGGAGACTGTTCAAGTAGGATCAAAGTGTGAATGACCAGCTCTGGACATTTCTGTGTCCACAAGCACACTTTGTCCAGCTCAGGAGCACAGAAGGCGTCTCAGATGGTCTCCAGACGGCTGCGCTGACCCTCTAACCTGAATGATAAATCATGTGCGATAGCCATTTATTTCTTGTAGTTATGTTTCGGCACACTTTAGGTGTCACGAAGGCTTTTTAATTTTATTTTGAATATAAAAACAGGGTGTCTGCATTTATGTAGTCATTACATATAAGGGCTGTTCATTCATCTAATGTTTGCATCTGTAGTGGACTATCCTTGGAGACAGTGGGCTGAGGTCCACCAAAGACCCTGGTGGTCAGGGGCCTTGGTCGACCCCGGTAATTCATCTCTGTACAGGAGTTTAACAGATATCTATCAATAAAGTTGCTGTAGTGAATTGATTTTAATGTGTATTTGTGCTTTTTAAACATTCTTATTGTATTTTAACAGTAACACAATGACAATATTGATAGTTTAGGTCACTGCTGTCATGATTCCGTCCCATCGCTGGTAGACAGTGAGAGTTTTTCAGTCTCTCCTAAATTCCTTTGTGCTAACAAGACACTCCTGTTTCCACTTCCACCACCTCCACTCTGATTTTGCTCTTGACGTTGATGGTGGTCTTGAGAGCCAGCATAACGTCAGTGTTACGACAAAACACCGTATCTCTGAAATGGTAACTTTACAGAAGAAGCAAAAACATTTGTAGCTGTAATGTTAATGTAACATTGCCATCATGTTACTTACATTAATGTAATAAGATTTATTTCCATAATATTCCACCGTTTCTATTCGTCTGTTCATTATGACACAAAGAGCTGCACACTTAAAAAATAAAGGTGCCAAAAAGGGTTCTTTGGAAAAATACCACACAAAAAAAGAAAAAAAAAAACACGTTCTTTAAAGAATTTTTCACTGGATGGTTCTTTAAAGAAGCAATAATGTAAATGAGTATATGAGTGCGAAGAACCTTACAGTCCACATAGGTTCTATAGAAATTCAAGGGTTTTCCCAGAACACAAGACTCTTAGCAGAAAGGGTTCTACATAGTGACAAAGTTTATGTGACAATAGCTGCTTGTACTGAATCGAATGATGCCATAGAAGAACCACTTTTGTTTCTCTAAAGAACCACATTTGAAAAGAGATTTGTGAGCGTGAAGAACATTTTACAGGCTTTGCATAATATAAATATTCTTTACCAATGTTAAGGGTTCTTCCTAGAACCTTTAGATCATGTAGAGGCTCTTTCAACCTTAGAAGAGTTCTTAAAATAACACATCTCCATTACAAACATAGAGATGGTTCTCTAAAGAACCGTCCCATAAAAAGGGATCTTCTCGTTGTGTAAAGAAGCATTTCTGGCACCTTTATATTTGAGAGTGTTTGTAGAACGTTGTTTAAAGAACCATAAACTGGTTTTCCATCATAGATAAGAACCTAGCCATGAATAAGCAAGAAGCATTCATGCATTCAAATAGTTCTATAAGTCTTCAGTGAGTGTGTTTACATGCACTTAATAATCCGATAACTGCAGAAAATCTGATTTTGTTAGTAATCCGATCAATGCGTTTACATGCAGTTGAGTAATCAGATAATAGGGAAACTCCAGATCTACATGAGTCAGACAGTAATCAGATTTCTGCTTTACAACCAGCCAGTAAACTCACAGAAGAAGACGTGACATAACCATAATATAAAACTCAAACTTCGTGCCGCGGCTTTTTTCAAAACATCGCCACTTTACCTGAAAATATGAACAAACATCATC